CTTGTCAAGAAATCAAAGTGCTGAGTTGTTGGCTGTTTCACTCTTGACTCCTAATGATACACTTTTGGAGAGAATTAGCCTAACATGGACATCTGATGCTGAGTTGCAAGCTGTTATTCTTAAGTTACAAGAAAAGCCTTATAAATTCTATACCTGGATTGGTTCTCAACTAAGGTGGAAAGGTAGGCTAGTAGTAGGGTCTGATTTGCAGTTAAGACAAACCATTATTCAGTTGTGGCATTCAACACCACAAGGTGGTCATGCAGGTATGGATGCAACTATTAAGAGGCTACAATCCCTCTTCTACTAGAAGTCATTGGCAGCTGACATTCAGAATTTTATTCAGAAATGTGATATTTGTCAAAGGCATAAGTATGATACATCAGCTTACCCTGGACTAATTCAACCATTACCTGTTCCTGATGGTGTATGGGTTGATATCAGTCTCGATTTCATTGAAGGTCTTCCTAAGTCCAAAGGGAAGGATGTCATTTTAGTAGTGGTGGACAGATTCAGTAAGTCTGGTCACTTCATTGCTATTGCACTTCCTTATACTGTTGAATCTGTAGCTCAGTGTTTTTTGGACAATGTTTTCAGATTGCATGGTATGCCAGCTTCTATAGTAAGTGACCGGGATCCCATTTTCTTGAGTTCTTTTTTGCAAGAGTTATTTACATTACAAGGGGTCTTACTACATAAATCAACAGCATACCATCCCCAAACTGATGGTCAAACAGAGGTTCTTAACAGAACCTTGGAGACATATTTGAGATGTTTTTGCTCTGATAGTCCTCATGCTTGGGCTACACAAGTACCACTTGCTGAATGGTGGTACAACACTACATACCACTCTACTATGAAATGTACACCTTTTGAAGTTTTGTATGGTCAAAAACCACCAATACACTTGCCTTACTTAGCTGGTGAGTCTTCTAATGACATGGTTGATAGATCCCTGGAGGCTAGAGAGGCTGTGATAGCCCTGCTCAAGTTCCATTTAGCTAGAGTAAAACAAAGCATGAGAGATAAAGCTAACAAACACAGGTCTGATAAGCAATTTATGGAAGGAGATTGGGTTTACTTGAAGTTGCAACCTTACAGACAGATTTCAGTGGCTTCTAGGCCTTTCAACAAGCTTTCTACAAAGTATTTTGGTCCTTACTTGGTACTTTCTAGATTTGGTGCAGTAGCTTACAAGTTGCTTTTACCTGTTGATTTCCTTATTCATCATGTGTTTCATGTTTCTCAGCTTAAAAAGTGTTATGAGGTGCCTACAATCATTAATCATCCCCCTATGTTACATCTTTCAAGTCCTTATTGTCACGATCCTGAGTCGATATTGGAGAGACGGATGGTCAAAAAGTCTTGGTTCAATGGTCTGGTTTGGATGCTTCTCAGGCTACTTGGGAGTTCCTGTATGAGCTGCAACACAGGTTTCCTGTATTTCACCCTTAAGGACAAGGGTGGTTTCCATTGGGGGGTATTGATACAATGCGTAGATGAGCATAGATGATTAGGAATATTAAAACGTACTTACTACTGTTCATTAGTCACAAAAACAGTTATCACTGTTCATTGTTTGTTAGAGTTGTTAGAAGCAGTTATTTCAGTAGATTGTATCTTTAGCTTTCAATTCAACTCTCTAAATACATATATAATACAATTGTTAAGGCATGAAATGATTTATGATAATTCTTATCCTCTCTCTTTTACTCTGTTCTTCTTAGCTTCTATCTCGGAATTGCCCTGATATAGCTATCTTCTTATTCGAGGTTCAGCCTCCTAGTTGATATTATCCTTTCGATTACTATTAATTGGATCATTTTGTCCACTCTAGCAATGACTCTGAATCCTTGGTAAGCAACAGTAATTAGGGTAGCGCCTTAAATTTGTGAGGATGAGGAATTTCTCATCACAATTGTAGCATAAGCCTCTTTAACGACGACTATGTAATTCAATAGGGGATATACATTTCAAGGGTATGCAATTCAGGAGTGCATGTGGTGGTGCAGTAGGGACTAATACCGATGAGGAAGGTTTAAAGGAGTGGTGAATCAGAGTAGGACTAG